TTATTATTATTATTACTATTATTTATTATCATCATCATCATGATTATTATAATGGTTATGATTATTATTATTATTATTATATTATCATTATTATTATGATTATTTGTATTATATTATCATTATTATTATTATTATATTATCATTATTATTATCATTATTATTCTCATCATCATTATTATTATTATTATTATTATTATTATCATTATTATTATTATTATTATTTATTTGCTTCAGTACAATACCAACCATCTGTAAATGTGAAATGTCTTTGGTAAATATAGCTCCAGAGTTTATCTACATACTATTTTATGAATTTATGTTTTTATTATCTATTATTCTAAATAATCCTGTTGGAACAAATAAAGGTTTCTAATTTCTTTCCTTATCTTGCACGTCACAGAAGGGACAATACTCATACATACATAAAACAATACTCATACATACATAAACCATTTACGCTTTTGCACCTGCTGTTACTTCCTTTACGATATAAAAATATGTTTCTATTGCTCCATGTGGATGATAAACTTGTCATACTCCATAATAACATGATTCCCTGAGGTCCTGGGTGCACTGTGACTTCAAGACCTATTTTTAAAGTCGGAAGTTTCTTTGAACCTTTTATTTCGTCACGTCCCTAAAAAGCTGACACCGGTCTAAAAACCTCTCCAACCTTTCCCGCTCTCTTCCCGGGGAAAACCTAATACAAAAGGCTGCGGTGGAAAAAATATGTAGATGTTGCGTGGGCATTTGTGGCTCAAAACAAATCTACTGATCCCAAACTTGACCTGCATATTTTTGTGTGATCAAGTTTCTGGTGTTGATTTTGCACGTCACTGCCCCTTTAAGAACGGTTGCATAATCAGAAAACGGTGCATGCTCTTCCACTGATCAAATCTTGTTTATGACTTCACCTTAAAGTGCATTATAAAACATTCTTGCTGATCTTCCGTGCGTCACTTGGATAAACATTGGCCCACACATACATCACAACTGTACATGTACATACTTGGCCTATCATCTGCAGACTGCATTAGCCCCTATAGCTTCCCCCAGCCCCCAACCCAAAACACCACGTCCAGTTCACTCATGTTGCTTTTGGACGCTACTTCAAAGTCTCCAGGAAGGGCAGGCTGAATTCAAATCTGGAAAACTTTACAAAATGACGGTGATTTCTTTCATATGAACATACTGAAAAGAGATGTCTGGGTTATTGGGTAAATCTAATGGTTTTGTTAATGAGACTCGCTAGGTCCCGAATAGGTTTGAAAGGGCTGAGGTCGATATCAGAATTAGATTTACCATGACAAGTCTGGAAGAGGATAAGTTCTGAAAGGCACTACTGATTTTTTTGGAGTTCTTAACCATTGTACTATAGTTTTTCATAAACCAAAAATAGACTTGAGGACTCATTTATTAAAAATGTTTCTATTTTTTGGAGAATGAATCCTGTCCTAGCTGTTATTTCTATGGTTGTCTTTTCATGGACCTGAAACTTGACCTGATTAGTCTCCAGAAGTTGTTTTTTGCTCAACACTTTCTATTCAAAAACATTATGTCGCACATTGGAACAACCAATCCACCCGCCCCATCTGTCTTTCTGCGTTGTTTTCTAACTCTATACACTTTATGATGGATCTTTAAATATCCTTTTTTGCGTCTGAATTACTTTGGGGGATGTTATCTTCAGTAATTTATGGTCTTTACAACAGCATGCCTCCAATTAGACCGTGCCATGTTAGATGTAGATCTTAATCTAGAAGAATGTAATTTCCCATTTCCACCACTAGATGAGGGTTGCTGCACTGGGTCAAAACGCCTGAGTCTGCAAGATAGAAATTGTCTGAGCAACTACATCCAACAGTCACTCTAAATACAACTTTAACTTGACGGTAAGAACAAAGAGGAACAAATGGATAAAATATCTTAAATATATTTTTATCTCTATCAGTTACAGAGGAGAACAACATTTTAAATTCAAATTTCCTAATCGTCTATAGACTTCAACACGTTTCTCTCAAGCCCCGGTGTTCCAAGATGGCGTCCTATTGAAATGAATGGCTTGTGCTCAGTAGCGCATGGGACTTCATGGAGACCGGGAGATTAGCAGAACTCGCCTATATTTGGGCATCGTCTGGTCCTCCCGGTTCTGTGCAGTGGACGAGCTCCCATGATGCATTGTGCCTGGGTAGCCCACGTAAATTTAGTCTGCAGTACCACATTGGGACAGCAATAAGCTAGTAATACCCTATCCAGTTAATATTAAGATCCATGGTTTCTCTCTACTTCAAGAAAAGTTTGTACAACACATTTATAATGGGGAACATTTAAACCAAAAGGACCAATGTCTGCACTATCTTTGAACAATTAGAGAAAAACATACATCGTGAATTCGAACATCACAAGTTTCCAACCAAAATCCACACAAAACTATTTTTCTACAATGTTGCTTCCCAAGTTCCCAGTCATCCACAGTCACTATTTCTCTTCATCTACTCCCAAAGATCAGTATCTCAATGAAGAATGGTTGGCTTTATTAAAGTGGATGTCTGTAAGTTTGACAAATGAGGAGAAAAAGAGCAGTTTTGATGAAAAGTAGCCACAGAGCCGCACTCCCTCATGAGTGGACTGGATGCATGTATCGTGAGTGACAGTAAGGAGGTGGTGTGTGTACCCAAACATGTGTAGCAAACTGTTGCGTTGATAATGTAGGTAAGTAAATCATCTTTATTTATATAGCGCCTTTCACAGACTAGGATCAAAGTATAAATGTGTTGTTTTTTAGTAAATTTTGTCTCCCACGCCACACAGTTGGGAGCGAGGTGGCCACACAGGAAGCGCATGCCAGATCTATTGTACATGTTTTTTGTGGTGGGGTAAACCGGAGCACACGGAGGAAACCTACGCGGACAACAAGGCATTTAAAGGAATTTTGATTCTGACTCTGACCATAGTTTGTCTCAAGCAACTGGGGCTGTGCATTTTTTCACAAAACGATAGCTATTTTTTTTGGATAAACATTGTGATTCGGTTTACAATAGAGAATTTGATGACTCAATTTGAATTATTTTACATTTTAACCCCTAAATCAGGTTTTCCAATAGTTTTACATTTCTCCCTTGCAAAACTTTAGGAGATCATACAGTTCATACTTTCCACTGTCAGCTGAGTATAACAGGGTTCACTCCTGGGCGATATGTTATGATATTTTGTATGCTTTTTTTTTTACTATTTATTATTTGATGTATTGGTCTACTGTCGGTATTTCCTCTTGTGGGATTATTTTTTAAGTTCACAACATACTTCATTAACCGTAGCCTTTCTGAGTTGGTTATTGTGTGTGATTCTCTTTCATTTGAACCGTATCTTCCTATGACATTTGTTTATTTTTAAAGGCTAACCACTCAACAATTAGCCTGAAGGTGGCCATTAAATATACTTTGGCAAGAGACAAATCACTTTACATTTCACAGAACAACAACGGTGATGAGAGACATGAGAAAACACAGACTTTTTGCACAATTCGGAGACCAACTCTTCACCCCACCCTATCTGTCTAATCCTCCCTTTTCAAACTCTGTACGCTATGACAAACCCTCAGACTGGGACTTCAGTTTTCTGCCTTTTTAAACAAAGAATATTACCTCTAAAGTAGTTTGGGACATGCCTTCATTCAATTTATGTTCGTAACAACTGACAACTTTGTGTAACAAAATAGTTATATCTAGATCATGTTATTATCAAACTTCTACCATTGTCTCTAGATGCAAGTTATTATCCACATGTATCCACACATTTTCTATTATACAAGCTAAAAAATGATATGGAACACTAAATATTCTCAATATCATAGGCCAAATGTATTGTATGCCTTATTAAAAAGCTTGTTTGTCTCTTTTTCTCAGCGACCGATTGTGGCACTATCCATGAAGTGGCTTAAATGATAGGCTGAGGACAGTATGAAATGGTACAAGGTGTAGAATCTATATCTGCTTTAACTTCCACGCACAATCTCCTTTTGACACCTTACTTCACAGCCTCTTATGGTACAGTACCTTTTCACCAATTTCATCGTCTCCACTCCTGCCTTTCAGTCCACTCAGCCCATCTCCCATCTCCCCTATCCCTCACGTCTTTGATTTATCTGATGGACCTGGACTGTTTTTCCAACTATTTCCACCACATTTTTTTGTATTTAGTGTCAACATTTTTCAGAAGCAGAGCAGAGTGAGTCCACAGCTATCATCTTGTAACAAATCGGCCCGGCCCATCTTTCCCACTGCTCTGGTTTCAAACTCGTCATGCTGAATCATCTACTGTCCAGTGAAAGATGCATTATTAGACTATTTCACATTCTAAGTATATTCAATCATGTTTAAGGACCAGAAGAAAAAAAAACCATACTATTTGTTCTTTAATGGATTTAGCTTCACTGTCACGCTGAGATACAATAGATCGAGAACTTTCATAGGATTAAGAGAGAGTAGTAAAACTTGAACTCAGCCCAAAGCGTCAAATAGTGACTCACGTGGCTCTGATTCTAAGTATGCACGAGTTCTGTTGATTCTAATCCTGAAAAGACAATGTGCATCTTCGGTTTCAAAGTGTACAAACCACTTAAAGCTGGGGTACCTAATTTTCAAATCCCAACAAATTGAACTACTGTATGTCTGAAAATCCATCACCGTAAAAAATGTGTTTTTGTGCCTCTGTCTCAGCTTTTTCAGAAATAAAAATTAAAACAAAAAGAGACTGACCCTTCTTCAGCCAATCAGCGACACACATGCACTTTTTAGCATGCACTTCAAATATGTTTTTTTTTCTAATGAGATGAAGACATGCATGTTGTGGTCTGATTTTCTTCACGTTTTAACTGTTTTTACGCATACATTACTTATAAGGGGGAAAAGTTAGGGACAGCACCTTTAAGTGAAACATACTGAGAAATAGAAAGTTGAACAACCCAGCTTTAATTGGACATCACCACTGGTAAAACTTACTATGCGCATCCCGGATCCATCGTCTTGATCCATCCGCGCGTCCTTGCCAAAACCAGCCCCAGCAGCACTACCACTTCCACACAGGGCGCTCCAGCACGCCGCGCGTCCAGGGCTCATTCCCCCGCTGTCCCCCAGGCAGAGTGCGCTGAGGACCCGGCTCTCCTGCCTCTGTTTGAGCAGCTCCAGCTCACACAGCGCGGCCAGGCTGGACTCCAGGCGCTCCTTGTTCCGACTGCGCTCCTCTTTGAACGGGAACATGGTGCGTCTGTGTCTGTGCGTGTGTGCGTGTGTGTATGTGTGTAGGTATGGAAGTATATGGTTTAGATCCCCATGGTGCTTGGAAAGTGTGTATAGTCCCAGCCTGTGTGCGCTCTCCAAGGCGATAGGGCCGTGTTTGGAGGGGGGAATGTGGGACAGGCTGACTGCATGGAGCGGTGTGCGTCAGGACAGCTGCGCACACGTTGGGGTTTTTTTTTTGTTTTTTTTTTTTGGAGGAGGAGGGCAGTTCAATAGACTTACTACTGCTTTTACAGAGTGCAGCAATTATGTTGTGTTCACTTTTGGATTGCTTTATATGTGAGCAGCATTGACAGTTATGGCGTGAAAAATAGACATATTTTTCCAACAACTAAAAGTAGAATTACAGATAACTTTTTCCTATAGCAATCCTAAACCTTTTAATGCATCATCAGTAGCCATACATCACTTTCGACCTATCGCACGTTATTCATACAGAATTCAAGTACAATCATAACATCCAGCCAATCAGCTCTCATCTCAAAACGCCAAAAATCTACGCTCACGTCTCTATTGTGAGATCAATAAAGTTTATCCTATCTTATCTTCTAAAGTCTGTTGCATGTTTTGTTTTTCTTTTTTTTTTTAAGTCAATAAGTCCATAATTTGACTTTATCTCCGAAAAACGTTTGAAATATGAACACATGAAAGGTTTTACTAATGTTCTTTCAATATTTCCCGCCGGTAACAGACAAACGAAGAGCGTATGAGAGAAACACGCCACACTTTCAACCACAACATTCTAATGGAAAGCCTAAATCGCCCTCTTGTGGTTAAACAAGTGCATTACACACATTGATGGAGAACCATTCTTTCACACAACCATATTCCCAACTCTTATTAAGTCTGATTACAGTTTCCAAAATCACCGTCTCAGGAGCCCATCCCCACACACTCAATGCAGTCTGTGTCATTTGTTAGGTTAATTAATGTATCTATAATACATTCAAACCTAACTTTGGAATGAAACGTGTCTCAATGTCAAAACTGCCACATTTTCTGGCTTTGATCTCATGTAAGAACAAAATTTAAAGATCCATACTTTGCTTGGAGTAAAAGATCTGTCACCTCTTTTGACCCATGTCTTTTTTTAGAAGCATCAAGCATCAGCGTTAAAAGTAAAATTTGTGTGTTATTTTAGTTCTCTCTGCAGGCACACAGGTTTTGAATAGAGAATAAAACACAATCCTTAATCACTGTCGCTAGACAATCTCACACCACTGGTCACTTATCAGTAATCTATACTGATAAATGTCTAATATGTGTATTTTTATAATAGAATGGTTTTTATGCATGCCTTTATATATATTTATATAAGTTGTTTAACTTGTTTGCACCATGAGCCAAAGCACTTCCTCTGTCGTTTAATAGCAATATAACAGAATTCTGGTTTTGATTAATCAGTGATTGAAAAAATAAATAAGTCTTGTTAAGTGAATTTGTAGACCGCAGATAATCTAATTTCTATACTCAATGACATTATCCCCAAGCAAATACAATAATCAAATCAAACACATAACTCATAGTACATCTCCTTTTATTCAGCCTCCTCTTTCAGTTTCATTTCAGCGCATGTTTGGCCCCGGGCTCCGCTCCCAGCGCGGCCCCCGGAGCCGACTATATACTGTCTTCACACGTCGATCAGTAACAGCTGTGCAACGTCATCTCATATATAAATGTTCAAGAATCATTTCAACGCAGTCAAAATAAGTCATATCCAAATATAGTATATGCACATACATGGTGAGCTGGATGTGGGGAGTGGACTGGATTGTCACGGATCTGAGGGAGGGGGGAGGGAGAGGGAGAGGGGGGGGGACACATACTGTAGAACGTGAGACATTTTTGGTTATCCCGGTTTTGTTTATCTGGTCTATGCTGGCGTTAACATTAGGGACGGTCACCACGTTAAGGGTCTAGGGACTAGTTAAGGGTCTACTTTCTGATTATACCCATGCGTTTATATCTGCCCTCTGATAGTGTGGGGTAGCATTCATATGGCAGCCATGCACTTCATATACAGCTGACGGACAACGAACGTGAACGGACAATCATTGATGAGTTGATAAAAGTGATTTGATATTTGAGAGCGTTGGATAAATCATATAGCACCATGAATCAAAATTAAAAGCTATTAAGTTATAAGAATGAGATAATATTGGTCCTTTTTTGGTCCATTTAGAAAAAATCTTGATTGAAATGGATACAAATTGCCTGATTGTTGTGATATAGTACATTCGATCCGTATCTAAAGTCACACATTTGAATTGGTTGCTACTTCTTTGTTATTCATCATACTGTTCTGCAGTGGTGGATGAACTAAATGTTTCCTTTTTAGAGGGGAATGGATACAGGAGACATATTTAATTCAGGAAAAGTCAAATTATCGCTTGAAAACAAAACTAAATGCATTGAATTTTTTTAATTTTTTTTTTTTACAAATTGGCAATTTTGAGTTTCAAGCCTGAAATTGAGTAATCTTGGATGAGATTTGTCCAAGACCACTAACGCAGAAATTCTAATGTAATATTGTAGATATTTGTGTTTACAGAAAGCTTGCTGTGGAACTCAAACCATGTCTAGTTAAAAATAGAAAGAGTAAATTTTACGTTTCTGAAATTATGTGAAGCCAAATAAATAGTTATAAAATGTGCGAAAGTAGAGTATCGATAATTGTTTGGAATCAAAAATGTTGGGAAGCCCTATGAGACCTAGTACCGGTCCTCACGTTTGTACTTTGTCGCCTTCCACCACTGCTGCTGTTTTGTGTCTATCCAGCTCGACTTTTCATAAACTTGTGACCTGTGCAAAGTCATGCTTAGAAAACAAACTAAAAATGAGTTGCGCGAACAGTATGTATGCATGTCTAAACTCCACACATTGACATACGCCTTACATAAACCCCACAATGTGATAACAATGGTGTTAAAAGGACATTACGAGTGATCTGCACCATTTCACAGAACGGACACATACAAAGTACATTGTGTGGCCAGGTGGAAAAGAGGGGGTCACTTTGGAAGCCCATAGTAATCCAAATAAAAATGATTTGGAACACGTCGTTACAGCGAGATAAAGCCGCACTGCACATGGCGTTCGAAGGTAGAGTTGGAAACATGCCAGCTGTATTCCAACTTTAAAAAAAATAACAGGTAAAACATTTTTTTTATATACAAGTTCATATGACACTGCATGGACCCAGATGAGTCATGTGACTATAAATGTGTATAGATTTGACAGCGATACAATATTTTAACAAAGGAATTAGATTTAAAGGAGACATAGAATGCATTGGACTTTATTGGAATGTTGTTTTTCATAACTTGTAGCTTATATGGAACATTTGTTTCATGTTGAATTGTCAAAATGACGCAGAGAGCAAAACTATGACTGACCTCAAGTGGAGTTATGGAGTTCAAAAACATAGCATTTATTTATAAATATAAATAACATAAATATTACTCAAAATTGTGTTTTTTGACTATCTTCAAAAACATGATAATCCTGTGCACAAGCCCGAGCCCTTGCAAAAATACAAAAATTGTGTCCATCTTTTCATTTTTAAGTTTTTCCTTACTGAAAAACTTAAAAATGTCCTGGGGCTGCTCCAGGACATAATCAATGTTCACATGAAATGAGATAATAGATAAATCAGTTTGTCTTCAAAGACCAATGACTGTTTTAACTGTTGCTATTGGAAACAGCGGCCAAACAGTGATACGTGAGGCATTGTACTTCTCTTTTACTTCCAAACCTACAAAGACAAAATTATGCTTTATAGAGTTGTCTTGTGATTCTTATCCAAAATAAACATCAAACTTATGCTGTATTTTCACTGTACTGACAGCTTTTATATGGCCCTTAATGCAAAAATCCTCAATCCCCATGGTGACTTTCTTTTGCAGCCAATAGATGGTGCTAACACCAAATCCAGTTGAGGGATTTTGCTTTAAGTAACATGTGCTTACATGGAGTTATTACAGCACCACTTGCTGAAGTAGTTTAGTCTAGACAGAGCATGTTTAAGAGACTGTAATCAAAATAAGGCTATGCAAATAATGATGTCTTCGTGCTAATGCTAATAATATGCCCTTTAATGCAAGTTTAAAATATAATCTGCATAATATGTCTCGTTTAAAAAACATTTTCCAGCCGTCAAGAAAGACTCAAAAATACTTGAGCGCACAAAAAATGTACAGCACTTTTTTCAGAGGCCCGCCCTGATTCACGGTTCGTTAACAGATTAGCCCTGATGCTAATGCTTCCTGTTGGCGCGTTAGCGTTTTAGCTTGTTCTTTTCAGTTTCAACGCAAAGTGGAGGGAAACTACTGGCTTTTTCTGCAGCGCTATAAAGTCATTCCAGAATGCGTGTGGGAGCATGCTAAGATCAGAGAGATTTAAAAAAAGATAAATAAATAAAAGTTAAAATTGGAGAAAAGGAGATGGTGCCGGAGGTCACTTGAGTTGCAGGCGTTGAGTATTGCACATGTCGTCTGTCCGCTCCGAGTCTATGCTCAGTGTTGGCAATGCGTGTCCTTCTGGGATTGGGAGGAGGAGTCCCTGAAGCCGATGTTCTTGTGGAGGTTCACCAAAGATTCTCTGAGCTGGAAGGGGGACAAGAGCAGAGTCATGACTTTACCAACTGCTTTGAGAAAAATATTATTATTATTTTGTTTAATTGCTTGCTCAAATGCTATCTTCTGTATGGGGAAATGTCTGACTATAGCGCCTTGGACCAGAGGTGGGCAGATAATTGTGAAATGGACTTTATGTAGTCTTATAGATTTTTACATAAATATTTTACAGCTAAAAAGGCTGCAGCAGTGCCAATCTAATGAGAACAGTGTCACAGACTTTCCAAATAATAACAATAATAAAAATGAATCGGTTTTAAATATTGGTTTTTTTGGACACTTTCCCATGCAATTATAATATTTCACCTGGTGTGATTCTCAAACCACACGAAATGCTTCAGCACATCTATGTTAGATTGACAATACTCATCCGGCCTTGTGTTGTAAGAAGTTAGACAGTGGTGTGTTTTGGTGGTAGCTGTGTCCTGATGTGACTCTAAGCACCGTTCCAGGCAGTTGGCGGTAAATGGCGGCTAAAGACATCATCCGGTCATCATGCCTCATGTTTGCTTAAGGACCAGAGCAGCCTGCAGCTCCAGCTCCTTAAAAGCACACGGAAACCTCTCTGTTTGTTCTGCTGTGCACCAGCCGTAAACTGCTTTCAGAGAGAAGGCAACAGTGATGGAGAGAGTTTCATCTCGACAATAACCTGGATGTGATCAAGTGTCAGTTGGAAACAGTTGTAGAACATGTTAATAGATTCTTTATTTTTTATTTTACTGAAAGGATAAGCTGAGACATGATACAGTAAGGCAGATAGTAACACAGACTAGTAAGGGATAATGTTTAGAAGGCAGGTCATTATCGGAAAATAAGTACCGACAGGGCGAAGCGGACCCCGAAGCTTCCTCCCTGAAGGTACTTATTTTTTGATAATGACCTGCCTTCTAAACATTATCTTGCTTATTATACGGCTTTGTACCAACTGAACACACTATAAACTTCTGTCCACTTTTATGAATGCTGAATTCTTTAATGACTGCAAATATACTAGTTACCAAAGGTTTTCCCGTGGCTATGCGAGTAACAGTTAGGCTAGTAACTCCCAAAGTAGAACTCTCTGTAACTGCATGAAAACTGAACAAAGAATTCTGAACATCAGCGGTGAGTGATCCAAACATAAACTTAACCGAAATCCATAATTCGATCTTCTGCAAATGTGTCCTAAAATTTCCCGGAACGTACGTCCGGGTTTATCGCAATCGCTTTTTCTTGCATTAAAACATAATTTTTGTCATGAAAACGATAACAAATAATTCTGAAAACCTCTGTGCATGTGTGTTTAGAATGTATATGTATAATGTATTCTCCGATTAACATTTAAATGTGTTGATGATTGGTATTTGCGTTTATTGAGCGTGGATAGCTCCGAGAGTAGTAGCGACAATTTGGACGGACTACTTGCGGAGTAATCTACACATCTGCATTACAAGCAGAGGGTGCGTTGCCATGGGCAGCGGTCATTATTGTTTTGAGAATTCCGTTATAGAAAATAATGACCGGAAGAACGTTTTTAAATTACATTCAAATCAATAGTGCGTTTTACTGCTGCTGTGAGGAGCCGTTTAATAATTAACAATAACACATGCTCATAGTTCATTATTATATTGTGCTGAAATAGACTTGAAACTCAACACCAATTGTCCTGTGATTTTCTTTTTCAGTTTTCATACTTTCAGAAGGAAGTATCTAGTGTTACTGAATGAATGATGCCTTTAGTCCAGAGTCAGACTCAGGGTCCAACATAGACACAAAAAAGAACGGAAAATCCAAGTTAAAAAGACAAACGACAGCTTTACCAGTGCGTCCACGTCCTAGACCTAGACTGATAACCGGCAGCAATGCAACAGACATCAACCAGGGACAACTTTTTCATTGACAGACCAGTTCAATCGTCGAATTAAGCTGTAATTTTTATTTTATTTTACTCATTTATACTGTACATGAGTGTCCGCAACTACTATTGATGAATATGTGATTTTTGACAATAGAATAAATAACACGATACATTTTACAACTCCTCAAGACATAACATTTTGCTGCAACGCTTGTACTTTTAAATGTTAATAGTCAATAATAGTAGTAGTAGTAGTTCAGGTACGATGGCTACAATTGGGTCTTGGTGTAAGATAAAATATGTTTTAAAGTATTCGGAACAAAAGACAGCCTCCAACTTTGAGTATCCTGCTCTTGCACTTTTCTTGCATAGAGATGAACTTTACCTCCTCAACTGCAGCCAAACCGATGCATGTTCAGTTTCAAAGACTTTTTCTGGATTTTGAAGGCATTAAAACAAGCCGCTGGGGCACGAGTTGAAGAGGCCTAATCCACCGTCGATACTGTACATGCACCACCGTATTTAAAGTTGAGACAAAAGTCCTGCAGGGTCTGACCTGGTCCAGCAGTAACACAGAGGACTTGATGATCTCCTTCCACTTGTGCAACTCGTTGTCGTGGAAACGCTGCTGAGAGTCCAGGAGCTGCACCCACTCCAGTTGCGTCTGCGGGGAGGGGCTGCAGGGACAGTGTTTATTCGTAATTATAGCTAAAGAAATTGTCCTCACGCTCTAGTGCAGTATTCTTAACACACAAGACAACTAAAAATAAATTCTTAGCAGATAACGGACAGACCTTTGGCGATACAAACATGATCTACACAGTGAGCGTCCATGGCGATTTGTCCCTGATAGTGATATTTTATGGTCCATACTTGGTGGTATGTTTTATGATGACTGAATTGATGACGCCGGTAAAAGGAGGAGGGAAAGTCCAAATGAAAGTTGTTTTTATTTGGAATATAAAATAGAAAACTGTTTTGTGAAATTATGAAGATTAAGTAAAATAACAACAGAAAGACAAATCTACCACAGCAGGTAATGTGCTGCTCGTGTCTATCTCTGCTTTTCTGATTGCTTTGTAAATATCTCTTGTTGTAGGTGAACTGTATTTCTATTGTGTGGCGGATGTTTCTCTTGCTCTTCCCTATATTCTGTGTTTTACTGCATTTTACTACTGTACGACTTTCTATGTTTTTATCTTTAGGGAGACTATGTACACTTGCAGATGAAAAATAGCCTGCTTGGCTTGTTCTGTTGCACTTACTGAAATGTTTATTAATGCATTGTGCACTAATAAACATTTATGTAAACTAAAACAATAACATAATTAGTCATTTGATTCCAAAATGGTCTGCTTCACATATCTGAACTCTTTAGGCACTTTGGGTGACCTTGGACGGTAAAATGGGCTACACTTACTTCACATTGAGGGCAGAGGAAATGTTGTGTAGTGTGTGTGTTCTCTGAGCTCACCTAATATTCCATTACTTTGGTGTCCACAGAGTTCTGACGGAAACCAAGGAGTCATGAGAGTGAAGTTTCCATCGTAGAATTGAAGTACGGTTCTAATTTAAACAATCTCTCAGAATGATTTGTGTCGCTCCCACAACATTCTCTCTTATCGCTTCTGCTTTGGAGCATTTACTTTTAAATGCTGCGTCAGCCGTATCCCCATGGCGACCTCTTTCCTTTCGCTCCATAAAAAGCAAACGTTTTAGCTCTGGTGAAGCCGGGGACTTGTGCCAAAACCACGAGGGGAAACATGAGAATAGTTTTTAGACTTGTAATACTTCCAACTAGTGAAAAATATATTCGTAAAATCATTTCTAATATTTTTTATGGCAAACATTTGATTATATAAATCAATTCTATGTGTGAGTTTGGAGAACAAACAGGACAGTGTTGTGGTTGATGTTTAGTTTTTTAGTACTCTTTTTTAACTTCTGTTCTCTGTAGTTTTGTTTTTTTAAACTTTGACTTCCTGTTCCTCTGTGTTGAGTGTCTGCGCCGCCCTGATGTGCTTCACCTGTGTCCCTGTGTCTATATGTACCTGTGCTCCTCTCCCCTCGTTGCTGGTCCATTGTTTTTGTCTTTGTCGATGTTCCTGAGTTTCATTTGGATTTTTGATCAGTTTTTATTCTATTATCTTCATGAAATCATTATTTTTGCATTTCTGCTTTTTGGGTCCTCCTCCACTTCACAACACGACGATTGATTTGACATAAAAATAAAATATGTGAAAGTGTAATATGTTTATACTGTATGTCTCGACTTGCTCAAAAGCCCTTTTATAATGAATGGGCTCGCCAAAAAACCCCCCAAAAAAACATATGTGTTAGGGCTGCACAATATATCGAAAAAATATTGTTAACGCGATTGGTACGTGCGATATCCATATCAAAAAGATATGGAAAGACAAAAATATCGCAATAATATAGTTATAGAAATACTAAATACTCATATCAAGTATTGCTCTAATTTCCAATATCGTGCAGCCCTAAAATGTGTAAAAGTCAACGAGCTTTGTATGTGCTACTGCAAATATGAGGAAGTAAAAAGTGACTACAGCTTAACCTGAGTTGCCACAGTCTCGATGACTTATCTCAACAGATAAATGACTAAATGTGGAACGATGATAATCAACATGAAGATAAAATGTCTTCTGCTCTGAAGGGAAACGTGTAAATAACTACCTCTCCGGGGGCTTCAGTCCGTGGGACGCAGTGAGACTGGACGTGGCGTACTCCAGCATCCACAGCTTATAGAACAGCATCAAGTTGAGTAATACCAGCAAAATTAAACTGCAACACACAAAAAGACAGTAGCTCAGCCGTTAGACGGACTACAGCAGCAGAATATCACAGACTATCACAGAATCCTTAGCTAGGTTTTTAGCATAGTACCTTATACAGATCCTATGGGATGCATACAAAAATAAGACAGAAGAAAACAAAACGGAAAATGATTTCAAAAGTCTAAGGAAATCAATGCAATCTATTAAAATCTACTAAATCTACTAAAAGCAAACGTACTTTTGCTGCAAAGTGAATACAGCAGGTAATAAGTAAACACAATAAAATATGTCAGATTGCTTTGTCTGCTAAATATTGTCTCTGAAACCCATGGACCATTATTGTATATTTTTAACATGTTTAAGTTTTTAAAAGATATTTAGCAAAATGCATTATAATAAATAAATAATCATTATATATAGATTTGTACCGGTAAGTTCAGAAAAGTGTTATTATCAGTGTGGCCGTGAGTGCTCTACTTACACAAGGCTTATAAAAAGTAAGATTTTGGAGAAGCTGTAAAGTGCCAGGCCTCCTGAAGAGTCCGAGAGATGTCTGGTCTGAGTGGAACCTGCACAAAGCAACTGGTTATAGACACGCTGAAGCAAACTGAGAGAGAACAACGACAGAAAGAGCTTACAATGGTTTATTTATCATATAAAACGAACAATTGTGACCATGAAATTAGTAATAAACCCACATTTCCATATAAATACTAAATATTGTCCATCTAAAAGAATTCTGACACTTGATTTGTTTATAAACATTTTCCCTTCACTGATTTGTCAAATTTATTACGATACCATTGATAATTTAGTTTCTCATTATTTAATCTTTGAACATTTTCTTTGCATTAACAAGAAGAGTTTTTCTCTTTACATCAAGTTCAGAAGCATTTTTGAAACAAATAAAATTTTTAGATGTATTGAGCAGATAGAAATAAACGTCAAAAGTGACAAATTCATGAATGGAATGGAATTCATGTGGAAATCATACAAATATTTTCTCTTTTAACTATTTACACATGAATCTCAATTAGATGTTAGATTAATATTTCAAATATGTTTTTTTTTATTCTCCTGCTATATTGAAATTGTGTCAATAAAGGACCCATTCAGTATTTTGAGTTTCAAACCAAATTACATGATTCCCTATTGTTTTTAGCTCCATCCATGCTCACCCCATGCACCTGTCTAAATCCCCCCATGTCAAATTTGGCACACTATGACCACAATGTCACTGAAAGACCTTTTTCTATCTTTTAAAACAGAAGAATTCCCTCCAAAATTAGTTATGGAAATGTCTCCAGTCAAATCTTATTTTCAATCACACAAACACAACATTAGACGTTAACACATGAATGTCAGTTCCCACCTCTACCACTAGATGGAGGTGTTTCAGGTACCCAAATAATTTCTTTAGCCATTGTGCATATATTTTCTCTTCACAGTCAAAAACATGAAATGCCAAAGTAAATATTGTCAAAATCATGTTTCAGGGTCAAAATGAACATAAATAATGCATAGAATTTGTTTTAAAGTCAGTTTTCTGAGACCATAGTGCTGCGTGTGAATAGTACCTGCCACATGTTTGATGAGATGCATGCCCTCCTCTTCCTCCTCTGGGGTGGTCACTGCGCCCAAGTCCCCTTCCACACTGCCCACGGGTCTCAGGTGGTGGGAGAAGGTCCGCCTCCGCCTTCGCTGGCTGCCCCTCATGCCCTTGCTCCGGGGCGACTGGGAGTGTGCGTCCAGCAGCAGCAGCTCCAGCTTGTTCAGCTCCACCTCTGCACACAGCGGGTACCAGGTCACTGCATTGTTCTCAGCACACCAGCTACTTTTGGGAGAGGATTTTATGTAGAACCTATAATGATCACCTAATTATTGTTGTGTTGTAGTCGATATAGAAAGTGGAAAATAACTCTCTAAATTTGGGGTACCTAATATTCAAACCACAACAGAAATAGAACTGTGGAATAAAATCCATCTCACAAGTTTTCACATCCATGTTTTTTAGCCTCTATCACATCTTCATATTTTTCAGACAGAAAAGTGAAGAGCCCTCACAGCTCTCAGCCAAAAGTGTCAAATAGTGACTCAGAAGACTCTTTACTTTTAAAGGACATTTATAAAAGAAAGCCTGGTTCAATTCAATGGAATGCATTATTGTACACCCCTATATCACAACAGTACCCTAGCCCTGGATCATACCTACTGTCCTTTTAGTTAGACAAAGTATTTTGTATTTTTGTATTATATTATATATAAGACGTAATAGGTCATATCAAAGTAGCTCATGGATCACTGCTCACCCAAGTGTTTAAAGTAGTCATCCAGGCCGCTCCAGAAGCTTCTCTCGATGAAGGTCTTGACAAGGCTCCACGGCTGTTTCCTGTAGCGGAGCTCTGTGGACACTCTGGACACACATGTGCACTATGGGTTATGACCATAGACTGTCAGTATAAACGGACCTATCCCCGCCGTCGAAACTAATGTGCTATCACTTTTGCCTTCTGTGGGCTTTTTCAAATTGGCCGTGGGCAGCCCCTCCCGCAGGGAAATGTGAAATTACGAATATGTGCATGCCTTAACCAGCATAAGCCTCATTCATTTAATGAGTGCATTCAAAAGTCCACAGAGGCTAAACTAGGCTGGTCCCAAAAAAAAAGAAAAACCTTTTGGACAGTCCTGTAAAGCCGTTTTCGAGAGGAAAGAAGACAATATACAAAACCATTGGGTTATTCTCTTTCCGGGTCCACCCCCACCGGCCTGGAGAGAGATTGCAAGCATGTTTGAGCCGAGACCCGCCCCACTGGTTATGACAGGCCAACAGCTGACATAGTCGTCTGTCTCCAATGATTGACTTAGCATAACAAACACATTCACAGAGTACTTTTTCAGGGCATGACACAATATGATACGCAACCAAATACAAAGGATTTTAAATACATACAAATCTTTCTCTCACAAACATAACAAAACATAACGTCATAACAAACAAGACGACCACATGGAACACTAGTTCACGATCCCGCATGGACTGACCTGAGGCGGCACTTGTTCTTGGCCACACGCGTCAGGACGTAGCGGTTGACTGTGTAGAAGTAGTCGTGGTACGGGACGTCGTGGGCGTTCACTTCTGCGTCAATCACGTAGCACTCATTCTCCTGGCTGGCTTTGTACACAATCTGCACAGATGCAAGTGGTTCGTAAAGTGGAGTGACACAAGCAACCAGAAAGCAGTGACTGACAGAGGTTAGCTGCATTTCTTCACCAGTATTAGCTGCCGCATAGAGTACAATACTGAATGTGCATGGTTCTTGGGTTCTTCTTTAGGATCATGATTATTTTGGCTTAAAAAAAGTACAATACTCTACTATAATAGGGTAGATCCAGGTTTGACCTTGCTCACTCTTTTCGAAATGCTGTATTGTGAGATTTGATGCCGCTCTCGGTCAGCAAAGGTATTGTTTTATTGAGACACATGACAAAATAAAACTTGAACATAAAGTCATAGCAAATATTTACATTCTCAACAAGAGTAGGACGAAGTTTGATTAACTTGTTAAGTCCTACCCCTTATGCATGTATCACATGGCTATTTTTCTTATCTTTTTACACAAATATTTATTTTTGGACCAAGTACTGATTCAAATTTCCAAAATATTCCCAAAAGCAGGTTCCATAAAAAACACCCGTCTGGTTCTGCCTGAGGATTGGATCTTGAAAGTGATATTTAATGTTGCCTTTTTGTCAAATGTAAAACTTAGAATTTTGCTCCATCCAATTCCTTTCAAACAATATGAAGAACTCGGGGCAACCCAGTTAACTTATTATTTATATTAAAAACATGAATGTGCTCAGGGATTATAATGATTGCATATTGTATTGTTGATCTCCATTGTGTCTTTGGTCATAGGACAGACCTGTGTCTCCGTGACGGTGGCTGCCTTCGGGGCCAGCGGGTTGTTCAGTGCGATGCTGTACATGAGCTCTCTGGTCTGGTTTCCATCCGGGTCTTTCCTCCACGGCCGGTGCACCACATCTGTCAGACACCATCGGTTACATCATTCACTGTTCAAGAGCTTTTGTCATCAATCCACTGGGAATGTATTCTCCTGCAAGATGCCACTGTCCCAACTCATTTCTGTTATTGCATGGTTTGAGATCAATATTGAGATGGTTAAAATGCATAATGAGCCACGGGGGTCATAGATTCTCACTGTATAGCAGGCAGTGAGTATTTCTCCCACTCGTTTTCCCTCCCTAAAAAACTAGTAGGAGAAATAAACTCCTTTAATAATAGAATAGAGAAAAAACAAAATACCTGAGAACCTCCTTCGCTCCAAAAAGTCCTTCATGAAGTCCGACTCAGAGAACAGCAGGTCGTACATCTTGTCCACTCCCAGTCGGTACACAGAGTTCAGGTAACGGCGCCCACAGAGGTCCTCGTGGAACGACTGCACCTCCCCTGCACACAAGCAACGCAAAAATATAATTAGCCAATTATTGAAAAAGTTTCAACAGACTTTTACTATGCAGTGTTTGTTTTGACTTGTCGTTTTCAGACTAACTCATGCATTTGAGTTATGTTTATACACTGCTAAAAAATGAATAAACGTATTAATTTTTTTTCCCCCCCGCAACATTACGCAAACCATTTGGCCCACTAAACTTTGTTCCCTTCTCCTCTGTCATTAAATACAAAGAAATAAATGTAGTTAAATCGGTCTTCTTTAAGTTCACGGCTTAGAAGGACTTTCTATTAAGAGAAACAGTGTAAAGAAGAGAGTGTAATTCAGCAGCACTGGCTTCTTTTTGTTTTTTTTTGGTTGGGACATTGTGTATTAATGAACAATAGTGGCGAGCAGGGATGAGCATGGGCGGATCTAATATTTGTGCTTGTCAAAACGTTTCACTCTCTTGACAGAAAAAATAACTGATATCCATTTAACCCTTGTGCTATCAAAATTTGTTAACATTTTGACCTGAGGATAGCACAAGGGTTAAAATATTGGCCAACTCTGGTAACTACCTCTACCTATGTCACATCTGCATCCCACATAGACAACCAGGAAGTAACATTAAGAACTTTTACCAAACTTTAAAAACTAGAGAGTGCTTGAGCTTGAATATATTGATCGTAGTGTTTTAGTGAAATGCCATGGGCTTTAAGTGTAACACCGTTAGCTTGCCTTCATCGTGTGTCTCGGAGGAGTCGCTGAGCTCGGTGGGCAGGTCTTCGTTGTCGTTGAGGTCCAGAGAGGGAGGGGGGGTGTGAGGGCGGGTTCGGTTATCGGGCACACACAGGGACACGGGCTCTGGCTCTGGGGCAGGGCTGGAGACGTCCTCTACGGCTGGAGCCTCAAACTGCTGCAGTGGGCACACAATTATAGACAAAATGAAAATTTGAAGAAGTTGGGTGATTCACAGATTTGCAGCTATTTCACGTATAATTCAAAATCTCAAATTATATCTCTGTATGTTTAAGAGACTGTAGATTTCAGAAGGCCTTGAAGGGCAGGTGGATTGGCAATAAAAAACAAATAGGACTGCATTTGAGGAAAAATTAAAGGAGAAAACTATCAGTCAGACAAAAACATGGTGGATTTCAGCATAATCAGTGAAGCTTTATAATGTAAAACAGTAGATAACCAATAAGATTCACAAGTTGATTCACTTGTTTTATATGGGAATGGATTTAGAGAAGATAGTATGTGTGTATGGCAGTGTCTCCCAAAGTGGGGGCCGCGTGGGTACTGCGGGGGGGCCGCGGGAGGTCATAAAAAAAATAAAAAAATAATATAATTATTTAATGTTAAATTTATAATGTTTTGTTTGTAATATTAAAATATTTGTGTTCATTATTTGACTTGAATAAGCCACTGTAATCATTTTTGTATTACAATGTTTGTAGCAGAGGCTATTTCCCCAAAATAAAATAACCAGAAGAGCCTATTCTTAATGTTGTCTTCTTGGTTATTATTTTGGGGGGGCCACGCAGACCCATCAGATTTTTAAGGGGGCCTCGGTGTTACTGAGTTTGGGAATGGCTGGTGTATGGTATAAAACTACTTTGTGTCTTGAAGCAAAGGTTAATAAAAGCTGTCATTTTGAACTTGAATCCAAATACTTACACTCAAAATACAATACTTTTTTGGTTAAAATCCCCGGCAGCTTGTCTAGATTTTGAGCCTACAATGTTGTATGTTGCTTTGCTGGATAAAAGTGCGTGCATGTGTATTGCTCACAGGCACAGGGGATTCGTTGCTGGGCAGCTCAGGGGCCGTGCTGCTGCAGAAGCCTGGGTGTGGCGCGGTGGGGCTGGCGTCGGCTTTGGTCTGTGCGTTTTTGCTGTTGTCCTCGGGGGTTGCCAGAGTTTGTCCGCTCTCCTGGACCGGTTCCGGGCTCTCCTCCACGGGCAGCTCCTCACAGTACCTGCACCAGGGAGACGGACAGCAGCTGTAGGTCAAGGTTACGGGTCTGTGGCACGCGACCTGCACTGTGCTACTCCCAGTGGAGATGGATACAGCTATAGTCAGTAATGGCATACTAGGGATGGGACAAGACCTCGCACCACAAGATTTCACAACATAAACATGCCACAAGGAACTTTACTGTGTTTAAAATTGGCTTGGACAAAAAAAAAATTGTCAAATGAATGAGCTAACTTAGCAGTAGTCACCAAAAACAATGCTACAAATTGCATTCAAAAAAATCTGAGCCTGAACATTTCTTTCAATAATACTTACTATACTTTTTTAATTAAGATTTAACAGTCTTTTAATGTATTTGTTCTATGTCTGAACTTCAATCCCTTGGTACTCCCCAATATCATCTCACAAACTATTGCAAAGAATGTTATGTTTTTCATTTAAAAGTTAAACTGATCGTACATGTACTGATTATTGAAGTGGTAAAATAAAGTATTTAGCTTGTAATCCAAACCATATACTTGATTTCAATATAATCTCAATCTTTTTGGGCCACTATGTAATTCCTGTGTCGGCCTCCTCAGTTTAAGAACCACAGCTTTATGAATGCAAGCGTTGAGTTTGTGTGTAGTCTGGTTCAGGGATTTTGGATCTGAAAGTTTTTAAAAGTAGGTCAACTAAAATGTATGTCAAATATATTCATAGGTTTAGCTTTAGAATCTCATATTCAGTCACTCATCACTGTCTGGTTCAAGGATTTTGGGTATAAAAGTTAAGCATTCTTGTAACAGTAGGTCAACTAAAATGTCACTCTGTTCATATCGTTTGGTTGAGGAGTCTCCGAACGTTTTCAATCCGAGAGCTTGTATACAACAGAGGAGGCAGAGAGCTACTCCTTTTTGCAATCGTAATAAAAAAAAATGTAAAAACAAAGAGACCACATGTAAAAAATACCATTATACTGTATCACCCTATATTTATACAATAGATATGTAATGCCTCAAAATGTTTTCATTCAAGATCATGTGTTAAATTCTAAATCCTTTGGGGAGCTACCTCAAAGGGGCTGGCGAGCTACTGGTTGGAGACCCCTGGTTTAGTCTTATAGTCTCTTATTTAGAAATATTAAGTAATTGCGTACTTTAAATACATAGTGATTTGTTAAAATAGTGAAAATGGATAACATGAAAAAGTCATATCAACATAACTCACAGCAAAAAGAAAAGCCAAATGAACGAGATTAAAGAGGAAGCTCGGGGAGAGACATGAGATGAGGCCAAAGCTCTGGTCGTACTGTAGCACTCACCCCATAGTGTTGAAGTCTTCATCTGGGGGAACGTAGTCTTCATCGTCGCTGGTCAGACCGAGCTCGTTCCCGTAACACTGGTGGACAAAGTGCCACAGCTCCTTCGGACACAGAGGCTGAAAGAAAAAAGTAATCAAGTGAATTCATGGAAAAACTTTAGCATACGTCTTCACATTTTGTTTCTTTTACTTTTTCCATGAGGGCATTTTGCCACAGTCTGAACATCATCATGTACGTCCGGTCCCGGGCCCCGAATGAGGAGAAAAAGTGCTGTGAAAAAGAGAAAAGAATTAAAGAATTACCAGACAGTTGTGACTGGATAAAAACGTGTATCCATTTAACAGTTTCCTCAACCATTTGGTAGATCACATTTGGAGTAACTATATCTGCTTGAAGCTTTGAATTGAAATATACCTCTATCACTTACATTTGGTAAAGCTCTAGAATGAGAAAAAAAATATTTTTAATTAATTAACATTAGATCTCCAATAATCAAAAAAAAAATGGGTCAAGGAGTGAAAATTAAAGGGTTAACTTTAAACTTTAATTAAGTAAATCTCCTATGTCTACTTTTACTTCTGTACATGAATAGTTTATATGCAAAAACAGATAAGTGCCGTGGAAACAAATCAGAAAAGCTTACAATTTTCTCTTTCCCGAGTAGTTTTGTGAAAAGCCAGATCTATTTTAGTGCCATACAAATACATTTCTTCAAGTCTACTGCCATTAACAGAAAATTGTTGAAAATTTTAACTAGAGAAATACAATATTTGGACAAAATTTCAAAACAAAGACATCTGTTTTTGCATCTGAACTCTTCACATGTAAAACTATTGTCTGGATGCTTTTCAGTCAGCAAAAAAATCCTCCTTAATAGAGAAGAAGTTTTTTGACGTTTTATCTCCAACTTACACTAACACTTTTCTGTAAAATCCCAATGAAATTTCAACATTAAACAAATGTTATTTTGAAAAACAATTCAAACATGCAAATTCATACATTGCAAAAATATCCAGTAGCGTTTTATTACCACAACTATAATGTGATTACAAAAAAAACTTTACAATACCATAAAATCACAGTGTGATTACCGTAATTTAACATCAACATCTTTGCTAGCAAGCAACCATGAGTGTAAGAGGTGTACACTCCTGTTTTGTTAAAATGATGCTTTTGCGTTACGCATGTTATAGAAGTAAAGATTTCAACTATTTTCTTGTATAAATTGAAGATGTAAAAAAATAATTGAAAAGTTGTGTTCAGGAAAACAAAATTAAACTGTGTAGTTTTTTGTTCAATGAAACTATTTAGAAACAGAAACAGTCATATGGTGTAATAATACAAAATGTACATTATAATGCTGTTTTTGTTGTACAGTATGTGAATGAACAGGAACACACAGTTATATCCTGAAATCACAAAGGCATAATGTGATTCTGTGAAACAGTCTTTAACCGTTAACATTAGCAACGATAATGCCATGTTGAGAAAACGGTAAATCCCTGGAACCATATTTGCCAGCTTTTTACTGTTTTTCCATCCATCCATCCATTCATTTTCTTCCCCTTAATCCATATCTGGGACGGGGGGTGTCAGTCAGAGCTGCACCCAGTACACAGAGCACCAGCCCCTCACCGATCCTCCTGCAGGTGGTGAGTCCACAGGAGCACAGTGTATACTAACTAGTCCGCTGCCCATGTGTAACTCGTACAACCCAAATGTAAGAATGCCAGCAGGGAGCCTCTCGATCCGCACCTTTTCATTGTTTGTACAGAGCTGTATGGCGTTGGGAATGAGGCGCGCCGTCTTCTCCTTGGTCATGGTGCAAATGTCCTTCAGCTGGACCATGAGCTGCAAAAAAAAAAAAATTATTTACTCATGTGCGTTCAGCTTAATGTCTACAGTAAGAACGCTGCAGGAGAACAGGAGTAGATTTTCCCTTACCAATGTTTCCCACCGGAATATGTTGCTATAGAAACAAATCCAGTTTTCGGAGAGGTAGAGGCGTCCCTGTAGGAGGATGTCCCGCTGAAGGGCACAGGAGTAGTCTGAGGGTAGAACAACAAGTCAAAAACATGTAGTTATCATTGCACTGGACTTATTTGTTTTTATCTCCATCCGCGATAAAGTCAAGAATTTTCAACACAAACTTATCTGGTCAAACTGCGCTCCGTGTCAAATAAATCTGGCACATCACTGACAAAACAGTGAAGGTCTTTTATGCCTTTTTTAAACGATCTCTGGATTTGTTCTTAGTCAAATAGCCTTCATTGTATCTGCATGTTTACATTACCATGCCCAAACACATTTTAATTGGCTTGCATTGGGACTTGCAATTCCCACTGACACTGTGACGTGCTGAGCTCAATAGAATGCAGATAATATTTACAGTCCATGGTGTACTGTAAATATTGTTTTTTCCAAACATATTTTTATTTTTACAAGACATTATTTTTGTAAGTAGAGGGGAAAAGATCATGTTTAAAAGATTACATTGATACAAATAATGCAGAATATGGGTTCTTCAAATAAAGGTTGAATGAAAATATTGGATGCAGTAACTATAATATTTGTATAGTGCTGTTGTTCCCATGAGCAAAACACGTCGCCTCCTGTGATTTTGCACGTATTGTATATTAATATTGCTGTATGAAGAAATATGTGTGTGAGTAAAAACAGATGGAGATTATTATTATTGTTATCCCATGGCTACCCCTTTTCTTATGGCACAAAGTGAATACATGGATCGGTCAGATGAATGAAAACGATATCGGTTGTGTCTGCGCCTCACCCACAATGAGGCGTTCGGTGTCGGGCAGCTGTTTGAAAAGCTTACGGAAGTCTTCGTTCCGCTGTTTGTAGGTGGGACTCAGGACCTGCCGAGGAAAAACACAAGTTCAGGCTAAAGCAAGGCAACCAACTTCACACTGGTAGTCTAACAGGGTTCTATTGTACAAGAAAAAACACATATTTTTGTGATGTCACCGTGCAACAGTTTAAAATGTAACTTACAAATCTAATTTATCACCACAACACTCAATACCTCAGTTTTGTGCTACAAAGATTTAGACTAGTTCTTCTGACATAGCTGAAGGCATGAAATGGGCTTTGGCTGAGACCCTCCTCTGTTTCTCAAAAAAATCTGGTCCACCCACAGATCCATCAGAACTTTTTACATGGAATCATTTATTTAATAACAAATAATAATGTTTGAATATTATTGAGCTAAAGTCATGTCTTTTGGTTTCCGACAGTCACGTGAGAAATAACTACCAGTTTGTGACACATCCTGTCCGTTTATCGCAGTAAACGGTTTATTGTTTATTGTATTTTCAAATGTTATACTCAGAAATTAAAATCTTGTATAACTTTAAAATCATTTTCAACTTCAACTCGTATACAGATGTTTACACTTTACCTTAGCAACTCCTTCTAAACATACAGGCAGCTGTCAATACTGCTCAAACCACTCACACTCATACACATACTGACTGAATTTAATGAACTCAGTAATCAAGTAACAACATGACTAATGCATTTATAATGACATAATGATTACATGTCATTTATACTTACTTGATGATTTAATGTCATTTATAAAATAAGTAAACCAGTTTATCTCCAAAAGGTCAATTTGCTTCCACGTATACTCTGTCACTGTCTGCTGTGTTTGCACAAGTCTGAACAATTATGGTCAATTAGTAATTACAATTTTTCTGATGAAGAGTTCCATTACATTTGCAATTTATGTTTGAGTTTTTGTTTCATTGATTCTAGTTTTGCTTCAGAAATTGTATCAAAACTGCAGACTGCATTGCAACAAAAATGAGTCAGCTCCACATGATCTTGAGCTAAGATATTGCATACTTGTAAGGAAGAGCCATGTGAGTCACTATGTGCCTCTTTTGGCTGCTGCAGGGTTACACACTTGTGTGAGTAAAAAAGCTGCTCTATGGTAGTGAAAGGAAGACATATGTCATTCCTTTCATTTAAAGTCTTGCCATGTTCCAGTAACTCCCAGTGACTGTTTCCTCAGATGTCAGGACATGCCTTAGGGCCCACACATGGCCCCTCACAGCAACATAGACTTTAGCCAAGTCAAGGGAGACAGTGGGGCAGGTTAGTTTAGCTTTCTCCACCAAATCCAACCCATCTCTGTGTTGTTGACTTACAGCTGGAACTTGTTCGGCTCTCCACTCCCTCCACTGCTGCCTCTGTCTCTCACCAAGCTGCAAGTCCCAGTTCAGTTCACTATCAGAGTCCACAGAACTATCTGGTCCCATGATTGGATACGAATCGTAAACTTACAATCCTGGAGTTCTGTTCACACAAGAAATATATGTCTTTTCACATTCAGTTACTTTCAGAAAGCCCCAGCTTGGTCATCACTGGGAAAGCGTTGACACACATGCCGAAAAAAAAGTTGTACAGCATCCTTACAAAAACATCAGATCCATCTTCCAAGAAAGTTTGAAATGCACAAGAAATGTCACTTTTCTTCTTGAATTCAACAAATCAAAGCTGCATGTTGTCACTGCTTTAAAGTGCAGTCATGAATGTTGGAAAAGTCCTTCTTTAAAGACAGAAAAAGCCATCTATCATCAATCCAAAAGAATGAGCTGTTTTCAAATTCTTTCTTGCTGATCCGCGAATGCACGACTGCTCAAAGAAGGATCTCCTCAAATATGTCAGTGCAAAAGCTGTTCTAAGAAACCGTTTTCCAGGTATTCTTGCGGACTATTCAAAAGATTCCTCCTCCTTGGCTGACATTTGTTTGGAGTCTGTAGTGGAGGAGAGGAGAGGGCGGGACTTCCATGTGTTTGTGAGAGAGGGAAGGAGGTCCTGGGAGAGCTCGGGTTCACTAGAGTTCATTTGGAAAGCCTGTGTTTTCAGCGGGCCTTTGGATGTTTGGTTAAAAGTCTGTTCTGGTTTGTGCGTGTTTTGAGTCTGGCCCAAGCTTACACCATTCACTGTGTGTTTTGAAAGAGAAGTTTGAGCTGTTTTTTGAGTGTAAAACTTAAATGCACGGTTTGACCAGGAGTAACCCCACATAACAGGAAGTCGGGGGAAGCCAAGCACTTCCAGGAGTTTCTGTTCGATTATCAGAGTTGGGAATGGACTTATTTGGATATGCCAGATAACTTCACAATAAGTATACACTTAAAATACAATGTGAAAGTAATAAGCTTCAGTGTACGCCTGCACAATTTTGTGAAAATATATATATTTTCTGATATTCTTTGAGATTGCGACATGGATATTGTATACAAACATGTTTTCCAGTGGACACGGTACATCACTGCAGGAACATCAACCTTTTGGTCTGATCCTGTAAATGTTGTTTTGTGTTGAGTATTGAATAAAGGTAAAGCATATTTGAAAATAACACAGATAGTTCTATTATAACTTTATTTATAAATTTTAAGTTGACTGCTAAAATAAATGATTGGTAATTTTTTTTCTACAAAACAAATGCTATTGCTTTTGCAATGTTAACGTTCTTGGTATCATCTGAGTAAAGTGTCTTGCCCAAATCTGGCATGAAGAAAGGTGAACAAAAACAGATGCAGCAAGATTATGTTTCTTTGTATATTTTCACATTCTAAGACATGAAATGCCGATGTACCATTTCCATATATACCAATAACAATTTAAAAATTGAATTTTTCCAATTATTCCTCTCACTACAATCTTCAAAATCTTTAGTTAATTGCAGAAAATTTGAAAGAATTTGCTCAAGAAAGGGTGAGACCTTATTTGTACAGTATGGCACTAAAATACTGTAGATCAGGGGTCGTATGCAGTGGGGGCGGGTCCCAGCTCAAAAGTGGCCAAAATGACGTGCGCTGACATGCTTGCAATACCACCCCGGGCCGATGGGGGTGGACCCAGAAGAAGAATTAGCCAATGCTAACATATAGCATTGGCAGACCTCTCAAAAACGTCTTTACAGGATGGACCAAAAGTTGGCTCTTGGCCCAAAGCTCTGTTCCACATGTGTGTCAATGCTGAGGGGGTGGATTTTTTTGGTCCACTCTAGTTTAGTCGCTGTGAATTTTTTAAGTCTCTCGTTCAAATGAATGGAGCTGCACCGGCTGACGCATGCGCAGATACGTTTTTTCACAATTTTCTTGTGGGCGGGACCACTCACGGCCATTTTGGATTGCCCCAGTAGAGCACATTTTTTGGCCCATTAGTTAGAACGGCGGAGATAGGCGTCACTCTGTCCGTTAATATATACAGTCTATGGTCGTATGCCTAAAGATTCTGAGAGTCCTCTCGGAGAGCTCCTTACTTAAGTTATTCTTAAGTTATTCCAGAACATTCTCAGAGAACTCTGAGCAAGGAATGGACAAAAACTCCTATCTTAGCAAAGAGGCGTGGCCGACCCCATTGCTAGGTATGTGTCATAATTTCATACGTTGTGATTGGTTGATCCTAAAATATAGAGAAAACATTATTTTAGGGCAAAACAAGGAACCTTGGACAAACTTAATCATCAATCATCACTGTGCCATTGTAAATATTACGCATAAAAGATAGATAGATATGTCGATGTAAAAAGAATGATTGCTGACCAGCCTATAAGAAGCCGTGTTGGTTGACTTTCCACAAACAAGTAAACAGCAATGGAGAATAAAAGAAAGAGGAAACCAACTGGACAGAGGAACAGTGTTTGCTTCTGGCTCAAGCCAGCATAAAAGTGTTTAGAGGTAAATTTGGCCCCACTGTCATCCAGTGTTTGTAGAATATCTCTCCTATCTCTTCTGTACGCCATTTTGTCCTCTTAAGCCTAGCGTACATCGGACTGGCAACTGATTATATCCGTCGCATATGAGTTGCTGCCCCGCACAGATCGACAATCTGACGAAAACGGGCAACTCCCAGTAGCAGACCAGTCTCGGGAATAACAGTGCGTACATCGACAGCAACTGGCCTCAACTACAGTGTGTTTTCTGACATAAACTGTTGCGGGCTCGCAATACACGCAATACACACACGTTGTCGGAGCGGCGCATGGAGCGCGCACATCGAGTGATATCTCCGAAACTGAGGACAACTAGTTGGCGAAAAGTAGAACACGGGCAACTGACTGAAACTGGAGACCGACTGTTTATCTCCAGTTGTAAGAGCGCTCACATCGACCGATTTCGGCAACTGATCATCTCCATCTACTCTCAGTTGCCAAAAGCCGCCTTGCAACTAGTTGTCCCCAGTTTCTCTGTCGATGTACGCTAGGCTTTAGCGAACTCTTAAATCACTAAAAGTCCTCCTCTCTACTCTTAAGAGATCTCACCTTAGGAACTCTCTTTAGGAATTGCGTTATTCTGAACTAGGGTTCTACTGATCTTCACTTTTAGGGGAAATTCTATGTCAAGATTCTAAGAATATTCTTAAAATTTGGCCACTAGGAGCAACTCTTAGCACTAAGACTTTTTAGAAATAAGGCCCCTGGCTTATTTCAAGGAACAAAATGCTAAATTGTAAGACTTTCAAATATTGTGTTATCTATGTTTGCAAATTAACTCTTCACTTGTTCTTTCACCCTCTACAGAATGAATTCAATAATTGTCCGTTTGACTGAGAGGTTTCTCATGTATAAATGTATGTTGGTTGACTTTCTGAGAACAATCAAAATTCACCATATCAGTGGTGTTTCCGAGAGCCTTATGGGTTCCCAGCCTGCCCTTATGTGAGTGAGTATTGTTCATACGGTGTAAACAAGCTCTGTGCCTGCGCCAAACTCCTCCACAATCCCCCTCTCACTCTTTATTATGTCTCATCAGTCAGTCTCTTATTCCCGTTTGTGGAGCCCAGGTGTATAGGGACTGTGGCGGTCAGTTCATGTGGAGGAGGAGGCATGGGCAAGGGGTTTAAACGAGGTCACACGAGATTCATACCAAAAAATCCTCCTCATATTGTCTGTCTGAACAGATACAGTATTGCAACCATAAGGTCTGTTCTCTTGCATTAATCATAAAATGGCGTCATTCAGAGAAAAGTTTAAACAAATATTACATGTGTTTTTGGGCCATTAAGAAAAAATATTATGATTTACTTTTGGCCATTAAAATATTAATGAGACTGCTATCTTTATATTAATCGTTAGCTTTATAATGTGAAGTAGGTATGAAGAAAAAAACAATTTCTACTTGAAACTCTCTAAGCTACCATCAAGAGAAGGAGTTGAAATTGTTTTAAATTACTGGTCGAAAAAAAATTGCATTTGTAAAGCATGTTTCACCTGCTACACTCTGAGCGTCATAGTGGTACAATGACATCATACTATTACAGGTTTGTGCCAGAAGATACATATTGTTCCATGGTTTAAAGATTTTTAAACCTCTTTTAAAGATATTATTTACTTTTATGGGTTGTGTTTTAGAATGTTAATTAATTTCATAGCTTAAAAAATGTATGATGTTTTTACCATGGGTCAGCAAAAATTCCAACTGGAGTATACTGTAGGTGGTAACCATAGATAGTATATACAGTATGTGACCTCTGCCAAATGTGTTGACGGTAATGGTAACCGTTTACGTTTACAAATACGGTGTTATCCTGGTAGGTACCACACCCACGGTGTCAACTCTGTAACAGGGCAACCTGCCACATTTAATGACTACATATTAGTCCATCCTTAACTAATTTACCGATCAAATGTCACTGAACAATGTCACTTTACTTTATCTACTTCTTACTGTATCCTGAGCTATATGTACAGTATATAACTCTGCACTACTCATATATATATATATATATATATATATATATAAAATGTTTTTTGAAAGGCTGGTATCAAAGTATTTACAGCATTTACAGATAGTTAAGAAACATAGCTACTACTTATTTTGTATATTTTGAGTGCTCCCTGTGTGTCTCTTACTGTCCTGTCTGTGCGCTGCAACATCGAAATTTCCCCACTGTGAGACGAATAAAGGATTTCTTATCTTATCTTATCTTATCTATGCTTGTGTAAAAAAAAAAAAACAATAATCATTCTGATTCTGATTCTGATAAAAGCCACAAGTTGAATGCAAATCGTTTTTTCATTTGTGTTCAGTTTTAAATAATAACCACATGGCTTGTTTAGCAAATAATGACCCACACTCCCATAGAGGTAGAAGTGGGTAAAAATAGCATAATTATTGATGTCAATGTTTTTAAGCACAATTCTGAGCCAAGAGTGCATTTGACCATGACAGAGGGAGAAGAACACATTTTCCTAAACTGCATGGAGAAAAATAAACTGTTTTTTAATTGTAAGTTGTTGCAATACTTGTTTATTTATATTTGATTCTTCTAAATCCCTGTTAATCTTGAGTCACCAACTGTTGAAAGGACATTCTCACAGCATTGGTCAGAAAGTCTCCTGTCCCTGTCTGCAGATACCAGTTTCCTGGAATTCTTCTTTCTAGTGACACAAACATGACAAGCAGGAAAACTATCAGTTTCTCCAGAATCACAACTTGCTATTGTGTCCCCTTTCATTTCAAGACTCAAACATATTTTTATAATAGATGTTTGAGTAGATAATCATTTGCCACACGACTACGGCTGCAATGATCAGAAATGCAGTTTATTCCCCTTTCCACGTTTCTATAATCAGAACCACACACACAAAAGAGATAACACACATGACCAATAGGCCAGTGTCTCCCAAAGTGGGGTCCGCGGCCCCCTGGTGGGCCGCGAGGGTACTGCAGGGGGGCCGCGGGAGGTCATAAAAAAATATAATAATAATAATATAATTATTTAATGTTAAATTTATATTTTTTTGTTTGTAATATTAAAATATTTGTGTTCATTATTTGACTTGAATAATCCACTGTAATCATTTTTGTATTACAATGTTTGTAGCAGAGGCTATTTCCCCAAAATAAAATAACCAGAAGAGCCTATTCTTAATGTTGTCTTCTTGGTTATTATTTTGGGGGGCCACGCAGACCCGTCAGATTTTTAAGGGGGCCTCGGTGTTACTGAGTTTGGGAATGGCTGCAATAGGCAAAATAGCCCAAAGTCTCAAAGTCAAACTTTATAAATATATTGTCAACAACAACTGAGTAATGCACAGTTACCAGATCCTACTGTGTTCCCAAGTGAAATGCCGCCATCTTCTGGCAGTTCACAGCTTTACAGTTTACATAATTATGACGTTACATTGAACTATTATACCACAGCATCATCATTAAAAAATGATCTTAATTGAAAATGTAATTAACAAAAAACTTACATTGTACCAGCTCTGGCTCTTCTGTTGATATGTGAAGCCATGTCATCCAAAGCAGAAAAAAAGAAGATAATGAAACAAGAATTAGTAATCACACACATTGCTGTGCATTTAGAATGACATGTAACTTGCTAATATAATTTCCACACAGTAATAAATATGACCACTATAGAATAAACATAATAACAAAAACTATAAATACATATTTTTATATTAAAAGCAATAGCGGGACATTACTTTTACATTTTTCATATTTTAAGGCCAGTCATGAAGAAAAAAGTATTATGGATGCCACTACATTGACTGTCACAACAAGACAATACAATAAGGCAATAGTTGACCAAACAGGACCTAATGAGCCTTCTGCTGAAAAATGAGTATTGTATCCCCCAAGATCCTTCCACTATTGGACAGAAAAGTCCAAACATATCTTGCAAGATCCATCAATCGCCACAATAATCTCTATTATTAAGTGTCAATTTAAAGACTTCTTCTGATTAGCATAACCACATAAACAGTCTTTCCAATGTGGTTCACGACAGTCTTCCTCAGCCCCTTAGTGAGTCTATTCCGGGCTAACAGAGTAGGACTGATGGTACTGCTGACCGGGACAGAAAATCAATCAGGAGGGTGATAAAATGAGATTAACAGCAGTCAGTGCTTACTTTAACCAGGTTTGACTTGTCAGACTGGAGGGAGCATGCACAAACAGAGAAACACATGGGCCATGCGGATGAGAGAGCTTGACACAGACAGATGCCGTGGCGTACAGCAGTTATCATGTGGAGGTGTTTGGCTTAATTGCTTGAAGAACAAATGATACAATTATTTATGTTCAGATGGCCCTTATACTTGATCAGGGAAACTATTGACTTGTTAGAAAACATATGGTAATGTCGTTTACACCTAGAACAGAGAAAATACTTCTGCTTTTATTTACTCTCACAAACATTCGAGTTGTAGATGGGGTAAATGTAAAAAAAAGTTGCAAAAATTGAGGAAGTTTAGATTAGGCCGAGATCACATTAGTAAGTAAGTTAGTAATAGAATGTACATTAGATTGTGACAGCCCTACTGTTGTGAGTAACATATTGCAGAGGTTTTAAGGATGGGGATAGGGATAGGGGCTGTTTCCAGGCAAAAGCAAAGATCCAGAGTAGAATGGTGCTTACTTTAGTGTGCCGCTTGTGAGACTATAGCATGCATGAGAAAGAAAAACAACAGAACAGAGATTGAAAATAACACACAAAGACCACAGAAGGATGATATGAATGTCAGTGATGTGTATGGTGCAGGCAAATCAATGTAAACAATAGAAAGCAGCACTTTACATTATGTTTAAGGTTAATAAAGAAACAAATATACATGTCTAAAAACTGTTTAAATATTTATTTGTTTCAATTATTTACTATTTATATACTTATTTAAGATAAATAAAATGTATTATTTTAGAACCGACAAACTGAAACTTACAGTATATGTCATGGATGTATTATGGGGTACTCGTTTAATAAGGATATTATGGACGCGTTCCACACACGTCTGGTGAAGAAAATGTAGATTTATTACTCTGTAGTAAAAGTAAGTTAGATAACTTACTTTGTGTTTACCATCAGCAGGAGGGATACATGATATATGCAGCTCTTCGCTATTTTGCAACACAAAATATTTTTTCCAGTTCAATATATGATACTAGTGCTAACTAGAAAAAGCATTTAATATTAATAAACACTAAAACATAATTTTTCAGCTAACTTTAAACGGACACGTGATAGCTAATGCTAGTTAAAGGTCCTTGATGTTCCATACAACGTTTCATTATATATTGGACATTTGTTTTATTTAAATGCTGGCTAACAACTAAATACAACTTTAACTTTCGTTTACTTGTGATTCTAGCAACCATTCTGTGACTACCATGGATAATGCTAACGCGTTTTTATTATGGATCCAAATGCTAACGCTGCTATTCGCTGCTATTTGCTACAACTTCCGCAGCAGCTCTGAGCTAGCCGAGCTTCACCACGCATGCGCCGGTTTTACCCATGGCCTTTACCATCAGGCTTCTTACCCTAGAGTTCTTCCCCCCAGAGCGGCCGCTGTTGCTGTTGTGGTGGTTCGTGTGCAGGGGTTGGGAGAGGGAGCGCTGGTGGTGAGGGCCTTGGTGCGGCTGGTCAGGGGACGTGGGAGAGCGGTCCGTGCCCTGGTCCGAACCCTTCTCCACCATGGTGCTGCTGGGGATGTGCAGAGGCGTGGAGGAGCGGGAGCGCTTACGGAGGACAGGTGAGCAGACCGGGGTGCTGCGCTGGGAGTTAGTGGCTGTACTGTAAAAGAGAAAATAACACAATCTAATTTAATGTGTTGTCAACATCATTTAGACGTCTGGAAGAAAGGCATCGTAGATCTGCTGCCAAGAGTCTTGTTTCTGCTGTGTTTCTGGAGTCCAACATCAAGTGTATGAGCTTCATGCGCCAAAACAGACCAAAGTAAAACCACAGAGCAGAACTATTCCACAATTTGTATTTGCAGACTGTCTTAAAACAAACAACAATAGTACAATATTAATTGACATATATATTACTTGTATTTTGCGATTACAAATTAGAATGATTATCTATACCACAGTGGAAAATTATAATTTGTCATTGATCCAAGGTACTATACTATTTGAAATACAAGTCTGGCTTGTATTTCATTCTGTACGTTCATATTCTCACATTTCTATCTGAAAAAAACAAAAAACTATGCTGAGTAGTGCAGCTACACAATTCAGTTTCCAATGACTCCTCTGGCTTATATTTCATTTGTTGATGATCATTGAAAGATATACACAAACAAGTAGTTTCTATGGAATTAATCTGCTATGGATTGTAGCAGTAAGCTCTTTATAGAGACAGAGGTTCCTATGGAACAACTGTGTACATTATAAGATCAGTTTCCCATTATAAAATCTATTGTTAGGACCTTACATAATTGATGTCCAGAAGAGCCATTAAATCCACCCAAGTATTCTACATTAAGAAGTATATTTATCAATGCAGGTGAAAACTAAATTAGCGGATGGCATTTTTGTGTAACGCCTTGCACACAATTTACTGACTTGAATTTGCTGGTAATATTGTGTATCTGCATCATCATGACGATGTAACCTATGCACAATCTTAACTTTTTAATATAAAATAGGCCTAAATAAAGTGACTGCTGACAGTGACCAGAGCCAAACCAGCATCAATCTGATTTCAATAAAAACGCCTTGTTTTATGCCAATTCATTCAGTCTCATGGACAAAAACGTGTAAAAACGCAATGCTGCACAGCATTCATTTTGTAATCACTAAAATCATCTCAAGCTTTTATTTTAGTGATTTTAAAACATGTATCTTCGTAAAGGTGTTCATTGTTAACAACATTAACTGTCTGTACCTGTGTTGAGCTTGTTGCCCTCTTAAGGCTCCCATGAAACATTGAGGAAACGTACATCGCTGATCCGTTCATCACATCAAAGCACTCTACAGAGGTCAACCTAGGTTTCCCAGTACACATTTAGCATCCTTCCGGTCCTGACATTTGTGTACAACAAAAGCTCTTAACACTGGACTCTTGATTATATGATTTAATTCCAGTGAACAGGTTAGGCCGTAACTCTTCCCTATTTTATGAACTACAATGTTTTTTTTATGTGTCTATGCCCATGCTGGATTTGGCAGTGGTTCTACCAACTCTCAGCTGCAGTGATCTAAAATGGTGCAAGGTGATCCAATCTCTTGTTTGTGCCATCACAACAGCAAAAAGAATGATCATCATGACGAACCGGTAAATCTGTTTGTTATCAAAAGATACACTAACCGACCTGGCAGCCATAGACGCCCTCAGCCTATAGCATCAACCCGTGCGTGCTTCATTCAGCTGCAAGAGCGTGAAGAGGAGGAGACAAGCGAGGAAGCAGGAGAGCAAAGGAGGAGGATGCGACAGAAATCCTATGTGCAACCAAAAAGAAGGATTGTTGCTCTGCTAGTCCATGACAAGCCCCGACTCTTGCCCATTTTGCAGGAACACGCAATAGCCACCGGAGCTGCTACAAATGTATAGCCCCTCTACTCTCATCAACAGACACCCCCGTCCTTGAGAAGCCCACCCAGCCGCACGCGATTGGACCAGATGGATGAGTGCTCGCGACCGCTCGGGGTATTGTTGGTGTTAAGCCCCTCCCAACGCTGGCTAATTCATGAGCGGCATGAATGAAACAGGCTGACGCACGTTTAACCCTGACAGTCACACCACGCACAGACTCCTCCCTGTTAAAAAGACACAAACGCACACACGCCTTCGTCACGTTCAGAGAGACAGGTGTTGGGTTTTTTTGCTTATCGGAAAGTCTGCGCCGTGTAATGTGTCTGCAAGCCGTAATAGGGGGGTTCTAACGCGGTTAAAATGGATTCAAGAGTCTGAGTGGTCTAAATGAGATTTTCCATCCCAGGATGTAAAGAAAAGAGCTGACATATTTAGGTGTGTTTTGTGCTTGTCGGCAGTCGCTCTGGCAGGTCAATTTGTAACTGCACTGTTTTGTTTATGATTATCTATGCCTTTTTTCTATCTTGTTCTGTTAAGCACTTTCAGTTGCCTTGTGTATGAACTGTGCTGTACAAATAAACTTGCCTTGCCAATAGGTTGATACACAAGAGGTATAAAGGCAGGAGGAAGTAGACAATTTATGGAAACGCGTCACTAAAGAGTAAACTTCATGAGAGTGAGAAATGTTCAATTTCTAAAAGTGATTTATCAATTTGAATGCATGTGTGGATGTGCAAATGAGAACCATATTTTTTATACAAGTGCTAGATTTACAATTCATGATTTGTTTGACAAAATAATAAAACAGTCTCCACAGTTGGGAAAGATATTACCGCTTTCACTATTGGCTCTTCCTCAGAAATTGAACAGACATTATTATTGGAACTGTTATTTTTTATTGTGCAATGTGAAATGTTATATTCACAAATGAAAGGTCCCTCCTTCCTCACATTCCACAAGGGAATCTATCTCTCCTCTAAGCTATTACATACATACATATAAGTATTTTGCAACATTGCTAAGCCGTTCACGCTGCTTTACACTGCATCAAAAAGTGGACATAGATTCATGCACATATTTGCTCTTGAGTACAACAGACTGCCCTTCTACTGACCTTTGGCTTAAAAAGTACTGCTGCAGCTGTGTGTGGGGCTTTTTAACAGTGAGAACACTAAAAGTACTTTTGTTCTGTCTGGCTGTAAACAACATGATAACTATGTATCAATGTATGGTTTCATTCTGAACTTTTGAGGAAGAGAATTGAAACTGCATGAATCTATGAAACTGCCTTATCCTTCCAGGGAGTATGAGTATGAGTACTTCACCAAAATAGTAAACAACGTATTAACCAGTGGATTAAATGTGAAGATTAAATGTGAAGATCATAAGCACTCAAAATCCTGCAGTTTGAAACTTTAAAAGGATAACGCTCTCTGTCACTCCCTTGTTTCTATGGATGGTATTTCTTTGCTTGAATGTTCCTAACTTAATTTTTTAAATTACACCTGGTTTTACTTTGACTTGTTCAAACATTAGGTGCTCTCTATGTAACTTTGCCTGTTGGACCCGTTTGCTTGACTCTAATGTAGATATATACGGTGAGTTTAATGGCACACCTGTACCGTAGTCTTGTTAGGTGGTGAAACATTCCAGGGCAAATAACATAAATGAGATAATACAAGCAAAATGCCCCGCCTTCACTTTATACAGTATTACGGAATATTTTACATGTGTTTTCCATGTTTAGTCATAATTATTACATTGATTTTTATTTTTAGCTCTCTGCCTCTTCTGTTGTATAAAAGTTGCTCTCCGATTGAAAAAGGTTGGATGTACTTATTTGTCTGTAACGCACCTTTAGAGATCAATAATGTTGCCATTGTTCCTACATTGTCAAATTCAAGTGTGCGTTCATTACTCTGCATGTAATACTGAAGACGTTGTGTCATGATTCCTGTATCTCTGAATTATTGGCCAACTGCAAACCTTTTGGGTCGTTCCATATGTCATTTTTATGCCACTAAAGCCACGTCATAAACTACCCCCCCTCCTCATCCTCTCTCACCATCCTAATGATTTTCACATTGGGCCTCATCCCATGCGCACGGTCGATCCCATTCTGTCGACTAACCCAGATTTCCCCTCTCTCCCCCGGGACAGATCTCTCTTTTCTCTCCCGCAATATGGCCTGAGATCACAGCAGCCAATTGTGACGCTGCACCCGACCCCCCCAGCCTCCGCGTGGGCCAATCGCAGCCAGGGGAGAGGATGAAGTGCCAGGGATGCAGCCAATAAGGAGGCGGCGAGCGGAACTGATGAGAGAGCAAGGTGATGTGATTGGAGTGAAGCAGGAGCTAAAAATTCACATAGAGGCGAGCACATGTATTAATTATCAGGGCTGCTGTAAATACAGTTAGACGTGCATACTGAGATCTGTTGAAACACATTATCCGTATTCATTTGATTCTTTATTATGTTAAAGTATCTCACACATTTTTGTATAAAGTAAGACATACTGGACCATAAGGAACAATAGACTTCAATTTATGTTTGTATATACCCCTAAATCACATCTCCATTCGTCTTGAGGGACTTAACAAAGTTGATTCCTCAGCAACAGATCAGAGAAGCAAACAGTTCAAACTCAAGAAGTATATTAATAACACATGTGAGACATTGGTCCATAGGAGGCAGGATGACCAATGTCCTTAAATGTCCTTAAATGTCTCAGCACTTGTTATTTAAACTGATGACGGTGGCTGTTGATTGGTTTCACTGTGACAATTGTTGTTTTGTTTAGCTATTTGTATGCTGCACACTGGAGCCCTTATGCAGATGTATTCTTATGTCGTTATAATGTATTAGTATTAGATAGCAATATGGCCTACGTGCAGGACTGTACAAGGACTCTACAAGGACTCCATGTTATGACTATGATGTGACTGTCTCTTTGTGACACGTATGTCTTTCGATGTGTGACGTGACAATGACTATATAAACTGTGTACTGCCTTTATTCTGTCTGGGAGAAAGAAACAGAGTAAACCAGTGGAACTTGAGAGAAACTTAAATAAACTTCCAGAGTTTGGCACACCACGATCCGTCTCTGTCTGCCTAAATCCTAACAGATTTGGTGGAGAATGCGCGGCTCGGTTTGTGCCATTCTCTGGATTGTTTTGGGGGAGTTTGCTCTGTTTCTTTTCCTGTGCGTGAGAGATCGGCATGCTGTGTCTGGGAGCGGAGATTCCAGCAGGC